AACTCTGAGTAGCAGGACAGCCATGAAACACTGACATAGCGACAGAGACGAGGAACAATGAAAACGTGAGTTAAAGCCCGACCACGGACGACAGCGGACGTCATTTCATTAAGCAATAAGCCCTAAACTTAAAACTAAACTAAATTTAAATCGAACATATTATTACTTAATATTAATATTGTCTACTAACTGAATTCAATAAACTGTGGATAATACTTAAGACTTAAAAGTGCATTTCATTTAATTGAAATTAGTCAAGTGAGCCCGTAGCATACCATAAGTGGTGTCAGAGTGACATACGTGTAAATAATCCTGCGCCGACGCTAGAAACTACAACAATTGGAAAAATTTTCTTTTCAAAAATTGGTTATGTGCAAAGAAAAGTTCAGTTCGCCATAAGTAACATTCAAGGGAAACTTTCAATAGCAAAGGGCTCGCGAAATTTCTTTTGCGCTAACATCGGTCCGTGGGTCAAGTTAATTTGTATCGGGTACAGTTTTCAAATTGTATAACGCCATCAAGGTACCGCTAGTCCCGGAATACGTGGATCATCCAACGCGCTTTGTTCCGTTAACTCACAGTTTAAAGTGAAGCTGCAGAAAACCCGTTTCGCGGGGAGTTTATTTTGAGGAGTCATTGCTGGGCCATTTGTCGAGAAATGGTCAGCGGAAGAGTGCGGTGTATACAATTAAATTATGGAGTCAATATGACACCACAAATGCTTTGGAAGGATGGCACGGTGCTTTTAACGACAAAGCTGTTGGGGCACATGTGTCATTATGGAGGTTCATTAATTTATTCAAGGAGGAGGTCTGAGCGAAGCCACGCTTGGTTTGGGGGACACTGGTGCAGAAGCTCCAGTGAGGAGAAAGAAGTATCGCGATTATGATGCTCGGCTGAAACGAATTGTGCAGTCGTATGCGGATTCCGATATTCATGCATATTTGAAAAATGTTGCTAATTTAATTTCCGTTTAATGTATTATTGTTGATGATGGTGATTTTTCTGAGTAACTATTCATGCTAATTTTTTATTGTTATTGTTGCATAAATGCTTTTTGTGAATATTGCTATGCAGGAGCCGCTATTAGAAGGTTTTTTTTGGGGTGATTTAGACCGGGGGGATTTTTTGCGGAAATTTTTTTGTGAGAGATGTACTACTGTTGATACTGGCGACATATCTCCGTAGTTGTTGCAGATAATATTTGTTTTATTTTTAACGTTACCGGTTTTAGGAGGAGCGGATTGCAAGAGCCCTTATTGTGGGCTATTTTTCGGGTGATTTTGTCCGGGGGAATATTGTTGCGGGGGATTTAAACTGGGGATTTTTTCTGGGGGATTTCGTCCGGGTGATTTTAGGATTAAGTCCTAGAGCCAAGTTCAGTAGCGTCGCACACACGACTTGTACGGAAAACCACTGATTCAGAGGTAAGCAATAACGCATAAAAAATTAGTTTTCTAACTTTAGAACTTTTCAGGCACATGCAATAAAAAATTTGCTGGTTCCACTATTAAAATGAACGTCTTAAAAAAAAACAATATTTAATTTATTTCATAATTTTTCCTTTTCTACTGAATAATATGTTACATCACTTTATTTAAATTAAAGTTATTTTAATAAAAAAAAACTCGATTACTTACAAATTATATATTAAGGGCACAATAAACCTAAGGTCGCCGTGCACATCCTCTAATAAATCCAATCTAATTATAAATTAAATTAGGAACATTTTGAAAAACCGCAAAGCCTCCTTTATCTGAGGGAGCTTTCTGGGACTCCGAATTGCTCGTATACGCAAACGTCAAAGCTGTGAAGCTGTGTTTTTGTGATCTGCTTAAATTTTGTGCTTTATAAAGCTGTTTACGCTTAATAAAGTAAATAAATTTAAAAAAAGTGTTAATAAACTTCTGGTGCACAATTTAAAGATAAGTAAAATATCAAAATTTCCTGTAAATTTGATTAATTTAACTTGATATTCGTAATTGCATGTGCCGAGTATTTTGTTTCATAAAATATATTATTGTTGTACAATTGTTTTTGTTTGTGCACATTGATTTTGCTCTTTTTGTCTTTTTGTCATTTCTGCTGTTTCATCATTGTCACAGCTGTTTGCGTTGTGTTTATTAGGTGTCAAATATACNCATTTCTGCTGTTTCATCATTGTCACAGCTGTTTGCGTTGTGTTTATTAGGTGTCAAATATACAGTGCATTTAAAACTGTTCGCTACATAGCTTTCCTATTGATATTTACCAGCTGATTTGTTCTCTGTTTGAAACATCGTTTTCAAAACTGTTTTGCTTTTTTGCTTCTAAAACCTAAAAAT